GCGCAGTGGGAGCTGTCGATCATCTTCGATGCTAGGCAGCCTAGGCACCAGTCCATGCAGCCAGGGCCCACAGCAAGAGGAAGCAACATGAAGCATCCAAGGAAGCAATCACCGATACTGAAGATAGTCAGACAGTAGGTACTCGTATCATCCGTTCTCGTACTCTGGCATTTCTTCCTGCAGAACTACTGTTTTCGCAGCAGGTGGAAAAGCAGAACGGCATGTTGAACCTCAGCAAGGGGTAGCAAATCGATCACTTTGCCCAGGCCCTCCCCAGCCTCAGCATCCGTTTCAACCGAAGTCATCTTCGCTGAGGAAGCTCTATGCGCAGTTCTTCCCGTTCCCAGCGGCCGCCGCCATGATCCGCCGGGCCGAGACGAGCGGAGCCGACCGCTACGACTGGGTGATCCGTGCGCGGCCGGATGCCACGTGGCAGGTCGGAGAGGTGGGAGACCGTCGGGTCGACAGGTCGGGTGATGTCGATCTTCATCTTCCACCCTGTTTGAGGACGAATGTGTGCGTCATGTTTATGATGTTTATGCTTGGACATACGGTCAAGGTACAGATGCTTCTTGTGAAATTCAGCCTTCTGTTTGCCTCAAGCAGTCAATGTTTTGCACTCCAATCCTTACTCCAATCCTTTTCGTCCTGGCTTTGCCAGTTGTGGCCATGACTCTACGTTCTACGTGACGCATAAAGGATCGACTGTCGGGAGAGAATTATAGCGGCCTCCAACCTAATAGCTTCTTGCTCCTAGTAGCTTCTTGCTCCTAATAGTAAGGCCAGGAGCCCCTAGTAGCGTCCTTGCTCCTAGTAGCGATGCCCTTTGCTCCTAGTAGCAAAGGAACCTTTCTGAGGTAACCTTCGTTGGCCGCCCTGTGCGGCTGCCCTTGAGCTCCGAACAGCTCCGAACAGCGCCGGCCATGGCACCCGGGCTTCCAGGGTTCGGAGTGCGAGAAGACGGGAAGCGAACATTAATCATCAATCGTAAGATATCGTAAGAATGTGTATATATATATATGCCAGTAAGTTTTGTAGGTTTAGGCATATAATTGTATACAATTAATCGTTTACTATAATTAATACCATGCTGAACCTACAACAGGTACGGATAAAGGGATAGAGATCTCACTGTGCAAGACTGGCGCTTGATTGTTTGATGAATTGATACTATAGTACAATCAGTGAGACAACACAATGAGGACAGCTTGAGGTGTTGCTTCATATTATGTCATTTGGCATTGGCTTGGAGGCCAAAGCCACCCACGGGCATGCACACATTCACTGCGGTATTGGACAAGCTGACACTGCAAATCCTGTTCGATCCAAGTAAACCTCTTCAGGGTCTTTGTATGTATGTGTGTCTGTCAACTGCTGAGCCGCTCCCATGGTTGCCGTCAGAAACAGGCTATCAAAAGTGACAAGGGCTTGACAAGGGCTATAAGATGCTGGACAAGGGCTATAAGTAAGTGTGTGTCTTTGGGGGTCAGAAACCACTGACTTTGTGCGAAACATGGTCAGCGGCTCCGATCCACTAGAACAGTCCGACTTGGTCAGCGCAAACATGCAGCATGCTCAGGTGTTTGGTCAGGCTTACTACCACGGCTGCCTGGAAGAAGTAGTTCGTATCAGTGTGCAGTTCAAAGCCCCGTTCAGTTCCGTTTTTACTTTTACGATTCTTCTACGTTTGGGTCTTGGAGATTATCCGATCAAAGAATCCGAAAAGTCCGCCATCTTCACAAGCACCCAACACATCATTGGAAGACAAAACACGGGACACTCCAGAGGTCTCCAAGTAAGGCTGACCCCACATGCAAGGCCTCACCATGCTTCACCTGAATCATTCCATCCCAACACGATGCCAAAAGATGCCAAAAGTTTAGTTGCTTCTGGGGAACGCCTTCACTGATGCACGTAAATTCTGTCACGCTTTTCTGCTCTTTTATCGATGAGCGGTAGCAACTCCTCCACCCCTTGCAGCCTTCAAGAGGTAAGGGACGAAAGATGACGAAAGAATCCATGCGTCTATCAGCCCATCCGTTAGTGGCTTTGAAGTTGTTTCATTTGAGAAACTGGCTACCCACCTACCTAAGCATCACCATCTCATTTTTGGGAAAGAGCCTAAGTCCACAACAGCGACAACTTCAAAATCCGTACCAGGTGCGAAGACCGTAGGACCAGGGCTAGTAATTACAACACGAGACATCTCAGGCTGCACCCTCCTCCCATCTCTCAGGATGTTTGCTGTGCGACCAGTTCTTCCTCGCCACCCGAAATGCCTTTGAAGCGCTCTTCGGTTTGGAGGAGGCTTTCCGCCGCTGCGAGGAGCTGTTGAAGGAGCCGCCAGAGAGCTGCTGGTGCTGCAGCCTGAACTGAACAGTGGAGTGGCTGGGGTTATGTTGCTCTATGTTGGTCATGCGATGTTTTGTGTGTGGTTAGGATATGTTAGGCGGGCTGCAAGAGAAGAACATTTTGGAATCCGAACTCTGACTGAATGCAGAAGCTGGTTGCATCTTTTTTGGGGGCTTCGTCCCGTTTCCAAAGGTGTTGCCATTGATGCGACCAACGAGAACATCCGAAGAACGTCGAAAAGAGGGTCCCACCGGGTTCCAGTTCTGAGGCCATGGCGAATGCCATCCGAAGGTCTTGTGCGGAGGCGGACGCGCCATGGGCGGCTTTGACACGGAGTGCACCATCCTGCGACGCTTGGGCGAAAAAAGACGGCCAGCAATTGGGCCCGCGTTTGGGTCTGAACCCAGATGCTCCGTGTATGGCATATGTATGCCATAAATTTACATATATATACCTGCATTGGGGTGGTTTGAGGTGTCATGTGTGCGCATATATTCCATACATGGAGCGTCTGGGGAAAGAGTCTGAAGGGTCGGCTAGATACCAGGGAACATCCCCTCGAGCCCCTCGAATACATCAACAGCAGTCTTTCGTAGTATATAGCGTTTGTGGGTCACTGACGGTCACTGCCACTGGGTCGAGGGATGACTTTGTCACTATCATTGTGCATGCGCAGAATTACTGGGGCGAATCGTCGGGACGTTCAGTTGCGAATCGGCAGAACCAACACCACAAGTGGAGAATCGTGTTTTCATTCGAACACACCACGCTTAGTCTGTCTGACCCACGACGACTCCGGTCTCTCGCAGAGGTGCGGACGGATGCAACGGCCATTTTGGTGGAAGTCATTGAACCGGAATTGGAAGTGGGTGCTTTTCGGGGTAGAACATGGTAGAACTGTCTCCATTGCTGTGGTTCAGCAGATAGTTCGCCAGGGTGTATCCGGTGGCCTCACCAAAGAGTGTCATGTGAATCTCAGGCCACTTGCGCTCCAGGAAGGTGGTGGTGAGCCTTGGATTGATGAACGATCATCGTCTGAGCCACAGCACATCAGGATTATTTTGTACGTGAAAGGGCAGCCCTGGACCTGGAGAAACCCCACATGAACATTATTGTCCTTTATTGTTTTCAACCCAGTGGGTTCTTTAAGGTACTATGCTGGTACGTTGGATTCTGTTTCACATCATTATTGTAGTTTGTTCATGTGAAGAATAACACGCCTCAATTCTCATGGTTTTGTGTTTGTCTCTTTGCTCCCTGCAGGCTGATCCTCTCACAGCTCACCCACTCCAATCTAAGGAACACTTCCATGACCTTCCTCCTGCAGACACATCGCTTGAAACTTCCGAGTGAAGTCTCTGGTCACTCCTTCTTACCATCTCGCCTGTGGCTGGAACCTGGCATTGCCTGTCCATGGGAATGATTGGGACCAGGCTGCTGAGTCAATACCTTACTCACGTAGCACCGAGTTTGGCCGAATGATGCCAAATGCCAACGATTTCAGGGCCAATTCCTTGATATTCCTTGCACGAATGCATGGCACAAGTGGGACCCAGACAGGACAAATGCATGCGCAGCAGCATTGTTTCTTGGCAGCTGCATCGTGACAAGACCCGATGCATTGAGCACTGCGTTGAGCCGTCACTTGCGACCAGTTTCAGTCAGGGCTCAACTGACTAAGATGTCAGAGCCAGCACGTGGTGCATGTGGTCACAGAGCAAGCCCAGTTTGCGGTCAATTTTGGCACATGGGAAAACTGGACAATCTACCTCTTGCATTTCCTCGGCGTACTTCAGTCAGAATGTGGGCGACGTATGGTTAAACCTGCTGGACTGCCCCACTTGGTTCCTCCACTGCTGGACGCTTGGCTCCGCTTGGTATGGCTTCTGTTCCGTTTCGGCCATTTGTGGGAGCGAAAAATCTACCCACCCACTTCCCTGGCACAGGCAGACAGGATATGACAGGATCTAGGATGCTGCAAAGCTGCTTTTAAAGAAATCTTATATAATCCTTTTCTTAAAGGAGGCCATCACTAGTAGGTTGGAGGTCATCGCTTCTAGGTTGGAGGCCATCGCTATTAGGATCTATTAGGTTAAGATATGTTAAGATGCATGCAATCTTAATCCTTTCTTAAAGGAGATTGACTGGACCTTTGACGTGCCAAGCTTACACCGAAGTGCTTGTTTGCCGATGCAAGCGATGCCCAAGGTGCTTGGACAGACACTGCGGACAATGAAGCTTTTTGAAGCCAAAACTGACAGTTCAGCGGATGCCACACTGGTTGGAACCGATGATTTTCTGATCAACCAGACCATCCATCGTTCACGGAGTCTCCGGACCGAGTGGTGCGGAAAAAGGTGGTTTGATCGGCAGGAGAAGAGACAAACTCACATGTTCTTCCTCAGGGGCAAACGAGGAAGAATCCATGAACAACATTGAACAACCCTTCGTCATGTGAGATCACCCGAACAAGGGATTGGGGTTGCAGGATGTTGCAGGGTAAGCTAGTAGATTGGAGGCCATCGCTTGGAGGCCATCGCTAGGTAGTAGGTTGAGTAATTTTCGTGAGAACCATCCGGAATTCTCCTCATCCTTTGAGTCCACTGAAGGATGAGAGGTGAGCGAGGTGAGCTTGTCGACATGTCGAGGCTGCGAAGCATCAAAGGGACCGGACCAGCCAGCCTTCTGGATGCCTCTGAGGGGCAACCGTGCCTCAGGCCTATCGTGCTTCATCGTCCATCCATACAGTTCGCGTGTCCCTAACTGTTCTGTGTACAAAGAGGATCAACAAAAAGGCAAAAGGGGTGGAAAATGAACATGAAACTCCGGCAGTTGGGTGTTGATTTGTCAAAACATCAGCGGCCTGAGCAGCCAAATTGTTGGTCAGTGTCGTGCAGGTGGCTGCCTCTACAACTCCGCGGGGGTGCCCAACTTGAGCGCTTTGTTGGTCAATAACAATGGCAGGTGTCTCATGGTGTCATCCTAATGCCCGGCCAATTTCCTGCTCCCCCATCTTTAACAAGCTTGCTATTAGGTTGGAGGCCATCGCCATTAGGTTGGAGGCCATTGCGATTAGGTTAAGGTGCATTAAGAAGCTTGCTTTAGCCGGAAACACACATTCTTCGGGTTCGGACAAGTCAGTTGGAGTGTGTTGTCGGCAGGACGTGCTTCAGCATCCGCCATCGTGTGATGGGGCTGGGCGCACAGAGATCTAACCAAGGAGGGTGGCTGAGGAGCTGAGGGTTGGAGACATTCGGAGTGATCCCCCATGCGGAGCATCCAACATTTCAGATGTGAGCGTTGAGCTTTTCAGAACAACAATGACCAGTTGAACAATCCTCACAAATGTGCATGATGTGAGGACTTGAGCACTTGAAGGTGATGAAATATTTACACTCCCTGGAATCATCATGGAAGTGGAAAATGGCTCCTTGAATGACAATTTGTGTCTACAAAAGGTGGCTTTCCACTTCCATGATGATTCCAGGGAGTGTATATCTGGATATAGTAGGTCAGTGAAAAAGGCTAGTGGCTAGTGACGCTAGTGAGAGCAAAGTTTCATGGATTTGGGACTCGTTCCATCCTTCAACGGCTTTGCCACGAGGCACATCCTGAGACGCAGCGCTTGTGTGCTTGCAGAACGCCTCTGATGGCGCGGGTGCTGTCTTCTTCGAGGGTAGACGGTGAGTCGTGCATAGAGTCATCTCCTTCATTTGCCCCAAGCAAGGTGTGGTTGGGACATGTTGAGATTTCCATATAGTTCCTTTCAACTCAACTGCAGGTTGGAGACTACAGGAAGCTTAGACGGAAAAAGATGAAACATGTATCCCCCTCTCTCACAGTGGAGGCACTTCTAACACCACAATGCCTTGGAGTATGTTGGAGCTGGGTCACTCGATGATGGAAGCTGGGAAATCCAGGGATTCCAGATGGGCTCGGTCTTTGTCCTTTCATACGTTGGAGGTGGACATGTTTTGTATTCTCGTCCTCTTTGCACTTTTGGGCGGTTCAACGTGTTGGACCTTCACTATCTTACACCACGATTCTGTTCAAATCTGTCGACTTCTTGTTGGCACCTGCTGGCACCACCGGCACGGGGCACTGACCAGGCCGCCACAGCTGAGAAGGCCCCCGAGAAGGCGAAGATGGTGGTGCCCAAGGTGACGAAAACGGAGGCGCCGGGGACGAAGCCAGGGACGGAGAATGTGTTACTAGTAGATACTAGTAGCTTCTTGTTACTAGTAGTACGGCCAGGAGCCCCTAGTAGCGTCCTAGTAGCGATGCCAGGAGCCCCTAGAAGCTTCTTTTTACTAGAAGAGATGGCCTCCAACCTGATAGCGATGGCCTCCACCTAGTAGCTTCTTGTTCCTAGTAGTAATGCCAGGAGCTTGGAGGTTGGCGAAGCGGATTTGCAACGCCAGGGTGACGATTGTTGGAAGCTCCAAGTGAACATACTGCCAATCCCTGGTCATGTGGCCTGAAAGAATCATTGAGATATAGGCACCGACTTTTGTTTTCATGGTGGGGCATTCATCGGTTGAATAGTGTGGAATTGTGGCTTCAATAGTCATGTCAGGCTAGGTGGGCCTTTGATACTTTGGTTGGCAAAATGACTTCAGATATATAGCAAGTATTTCCGGTATTTCTGCTCAAGTTCGATAAACCATGATAAACCATGACAAACCCCATCGCCATCGCTTCTAGGTTGGAGGCCATGGCTATTAGGTTGGAGGCCATCACCATATGATAAACCTAGTCATTTTTTTCACATGAAACAAGAAGCTATTAGAAACAAGTGCCACGCTAGTAGTAACAAGTGCCTTACTAGTAGTAACAAGAAGCTATTTGAAATGCAGTTGAATCAGTTGAGACTAATGCTGGGTGTGAGGCCCACTCTGATCAACTCGGCAGGTCCAACAGGTGTCAATGACGGCAGAGGCCAGGCGATGGAAGCTTCAGCTGTTTGCAGAACAAGGGGAAATCCAAAAATATCAAACAGTTGAAACCACTTTGGATCATTTTAGATAGTTTGTGTTTCTCCAGACATTTTTTGTTTTCTTTCTGTAGACTTGTTGTGTCTTTCTTTTAAACTCTTTTGACTTTGTTGTTTTGAAATTGTTTCATTTGGATAGTTGATGTGATCTACAGTGGGAAGAAGAGTTGTTTGGCAAACGGCTGGATGCCTCCAAGGCGGCTGGATGGAAGCCGGGCGTCCGTGCAGAGGCGGTTCGGAACCGTGCCACGCATTGGTTTAGAACTGCTAGTAACAAGTGCCACGCTAGTAGCAACAAGTGCCTTACTAGTAGTAACAAAAAGATATTAGAATTAAGTTTAAATTAAATTATATATAGCTTCTTGTTACTAGAAGCGATGCACTTGTTCCTAGTAGTTTCATGATTCGTTGCAAGTCGTTTGCACTCGTTTCATGTCTTTTTCGAGGCCTGGCGAAAAGACATCGCGGCCTTTGCCCCGAAGGAGCTGCCATTGAGGAAGGTCGCGCTTTTGGTTTATTCGAAAAGGACAGATGTTCTTTTTGGAACATGTCCTGTGGGGACGAGCCTATTCGCAGAATACCAAGCAAACCTCCTCCATTTTCTTCATTGCTGATGTTCCATTTCAAATGTTTTTTCTTTTTCTCCTTCTTTGTTCTTTGTTCTCTTCAAATCTTGTTTCCTCTTTGTTCTTCGATGTTCCTTCCTTCTTCAGACTCCACGAGAGCCTTTCCAGGAGCGCTCTGGAACCGCTCAGCCGCCTCCGCCGCTGCTGCTGCTGGCCGGCGACCGTCCGGAGGCGGCGCGAGAGACGGTGCAGGCGTTGCTGGCGTTGAGGCACGGCGACGTGAGAGGCGGAGCAAGGACGCTACTAGGAACAAGTGCCACGCTAGTAGTAACAAGTGCATCGCTACTAGTAACAAGTGCCT